AAAGTCTCACAGCAGCCAATCACAGCAGTGGGCGTTTACACTGAAGTCTCACAGCTGCCAATCACAGCACTGGGCGTTTACACTGAAGTCTCACTGCAGCCAATCACAGCAGTGGGGGTTTACACTGAAGTCTCACTGCAGCCAATCACAGCAGTGGGCGTTTACACTGAAGTCTCACAGCAGCCAATCACAGCACTGGGCGTTTACACTGAAGTCTCACTGCAGCCAATCACAGCAGTGGGCGTTTTACACCGAAGTCTCACAGCAGCCAATCACAGCAGTGGGCGTTTACACTGAAGTCTCACTGCAGCCAATCACAGCAGTGGGCGTTTACACCGAAGTCTCACAGCAGCCAATCACAGCAGTGGGCGTTTACACTGAAGTCTCACAGCAGCCAATCACAGCAGTGGGCGTTTACACTGAAGTCTCACAACAGTGGGCGTTTACACTGAAGTCTCACAGCAGCCAATCACAGCAGTGGGCGTTTACACTGAAGTCTCACAGCAGCCAATCACAGCAGTGGGCGTTTACACTGAAGTCTCACTGTAGCCAATCACAGCAGTGGGCGTTTACACTGAAGTCTCACAACAGTGGGCGTTTACACTGAAGTCTCACAGCAGCCAATCACAGCAGTGGGCGTTTACACTGAAGTCTCACAGCAGCCAATCACAGCAGTGGGCGTTTACACTGAAGTCTCACTGTAGCCAATCACAGCAGTGGGCGTTTACACTGAAGTCTCACTGCAGCCAATCACAGCAGTGGGCGTTTACACTGAAGTCTCACAGCAGCCAATCACAGCAGTGAGCGTTTACACTGAAGTCTCACAGCAGCCAATCACAGCAGTGAGCGTTTACACTGAAGTCTCACTGCAGCCAATCACAGCAGTGGGCGTTTACACTGAAGTCTCACAGCAGCCAATCACAGCAGTGAGCGTTTACACTGAAGTCTCACAGCAGCCAATCACAGCAGTGAGCGTTTACACTGAAGTCTCACAGCAGCCAATCACAGCAGTGAGCGTTTACACCGAAGTCTCACAGCAGCCAATCACAGCAGTGAGCGTTTACACCGAAGTCTCACAGCAGCCAATCACAGCAGTGGGCGTTTACACCGAAGTCTCACAGCAGCCAATCACAGCAGTGAGCGTTTACACTGAAGTCTCACAGCAGCCAATCACAGCAGTGTGCGTTTACACTGAAGTCTCACAGCAGCCAATCACAGCAGTGTGCGTTTACACCGAAGTCTCACAGCAGCCAATCACAGCAGTGAGCGTTTACACTGAAGTCTCACAGCAGCCAATCACAGCAGTGTGCGCTTACACTGAAGTCTCACAGCAGCCAATCACAGCAGTGAGCGTTTACAGCGAAGTCTCACAGCAGCCAATCACAGCAGTGAGCGTTTACACTGAAGTCTCACAGCAGCCAATCACAACAGTGGGCGTTTACACCGAAGTCTCACACAGACACGCCCCTTCACACACAGCATTCAAATCAGAGGCAGAAATCAGGGTAGGAAAAATGCCTTTAATTTCCAAATGATGACATTTTTTGATGTAAAAATCATACTAACACATTACAAGGGCACCCCAGGAAACATTTTAAAATAATAAACTAATCCAGTTCATGACCCCTTTAAAAGGACAAGATATCGCAGCGGACATTCAAACTGATTTTTTATTATGAACATAGGACTGACCTGAAGAAAAACGCTATAAATGCAGGGAATACACTCAAGCTCACTCCATCTCTCTCTTTTACAATACTCTACTCTACATAATTCAGTAAGCTTCAATGATCAATATCAATGAGAGCATATGTTTACGTTGCTAAGAGTGGTTGCTAAGGGTGTTGTGTAGTGATACACAGAACCGTTGGGTGAACCGTAATAAAACACAGCTATTGACCAATCAGAATCAAGGACTGGAACTAACCGTTTTATAATGCCACACAAACCAGCACTGAACTATTAATTCATCAAAGCTTAACCGTAAGTAAGTAAGCCAGTGGCAGACATATCACTTTAAAGCAAGGAATACGCTATAAATGCATGTTTCCTATGAAAGGCAACAACAAAGAGAAATCTAACATCATTCAGGGACAAGAAGCTGAAGAATTACGGCAGGATGCTGACAAAGCAAAGATCTGAATGTGTGGAAAGTGTATTCGCTGTAAGGGACAGACAGTTCAACGAATGCCAGAGTCTAATCTGAGCCGTGCACACAAACAGGGCTGTCGTTTGTTATGTGCGCTTGGGGAGCGGGGGAGAACGCCGAGCCAAAGGACATTAAGGCGTGGAGCATTAGCCATGCTTGTGCGGGATAACGGGCCGGGATTGAAGAAAACCTCTCTGAATGCATCCAGAGCTGAAGTCTTGTTGCCTGGTGACCTAAATATTTACCATACGCTCATGAGAGTTTCTTCTTTTCTGCCAAAATAGCAGTCAAATCATTGCAACTTACTCATCTGGATACATGACCAACCTTTATTACACTTCAACACATCCACCCTGTCCTTTGACCAATCCTTTTTAGTACAGGGCCGGGCTCAAATACTATAAATTACTATATGTATATATATATATATATATATATATAGAGGCGAATTTTTTATAAGATTTCCAAGCATGCGACATTTTCACAAAAGGCTGACATTTAAATATCACATTTAATGCTAAAACACTTTGGTAGTTTTGTGTTGGCAAATATGAATATTAATAATATTAATATTTTGTACAATTTTGTAAGAACTCTCCCAACCACCCGTACGCAAAAAACTCCTAAAAAAGTTTCTAGTTGGTGAAAATTAAAGCGTTTCCATCGGAGCGTCACATCTGGAGTATTACTATACCATGTTCTTTCTTTCTTTTTTATTTACACATTTATTTTGGGCATGTACCATAGTAATATGCCATTCTTTTAATATGGTATGTATATTAATATAGTAATCGCATAGCACCATGAAAGGAGGTTGCGATCATTTCTTCCCTATTGTGACATACATTCGGAGTGAAAGGGCTTCTCAAACAAGAAAAGATTTAGGGCGGGGCTTGATTTTGTAGATTAGGAAATGATTGGATGGTTGTGGTTTGCTATTGGTTGATCTCATGTGAGTGACAGGTGGCCCCGCCCTTGCGCCAGTAAACGCGTTGTCAGAGAAGAAAAGAGATGTTGTTGCAAGAGGCAGGTAAAGTTATTTTGCTTAAAGATTAGGAGGCACATGAATAAAATAAAAAAAGATAAATAATTTTATATAAATACTGGAATATTCCATTAAAAAATAAGAATTGTCCATTTTGACAATTCTTATTTCGCAACTTCCATATCATGCCTACTTTAAAGTCCCCATGAAACGGAAGTTGCGATAGTCTTTTGTGATGTATATCCAAGTGAAACGGCTTCTCAAAAGGGGCGGGACTTGATTTTGTCAATTTTGTGAAGTCGTGTTTATGACGGCGGGTGCGTTCAAGTCACTTTCGTTGGAGTAAGATGGCGGTGTACTTTCTATTAATTACGGTAATTACACAAAAATACAGCAAGGTTACTCTAGTTCTAGAAAATGAAGAACAAAGAAATGTGCATCAGGTGTGCTTTGCTTTTTTATGTTTTTAATTCATTTGTGAAGCCACTGCAATCTTTACCGTTACATATTACATTGTTATTATATAATGCCATTACATTTTGTGCAGGCAATTGGCTTACAGCGCTGTAAATAGAAAATCCTGACAATATCACTGCTAATAAATTACCTTTAAGTATTGTGGTATTCCTCCATGTTGTTCACTGACACGCCCCAAACTCGTAAAGATCGAGAAAATCCCGAGCTTCCCACTCGTATTTACGACATTTTTCGTGTGCGTTCAACTCGTAAATTTACACGAGGTGATTTGAACGCAACATTAATTGCCTCCTCGTTTGATTTTGCTGTGATATCATACTAGTGACAGAAAAAAATCACCTCATTCGCATTTGGAAGAACTACGTTTTTTTTTTTTTTTGTTTTTTTTTTACAAAAATACAAGGTGCACATTTAAACCATTTGATACACTTTGCCTCATAATTTCGTGTCTGTTAACGCGATTTTACATTGTTTAACAAACTGTGGGTCAAAGGAAATGATTGCCCGTGGAAACAGACAGAGAGCATTGTGTGTTCAGACAGTTGTGCAGGCCTGATGCTAATGTGCACAGATAGATCTCTCTTTCGGCTAGGTCACTGCTCAACTGTTATATTGATGTCTAGAGCATCTGACAGCAGAAAACCACACCTCAACTCAGCTCTCACACAACACACACACGAGAAACCATGTCTAATAGCACTGGTCGTTTCCTAAGGTGCTTTTATTTTACAATCTCGGCACCTGAGAGGCATATTTTCAGAATAAAGTGGTAAATGTCGTGCAATGCTTGTGTGCTTCTGAACTGCGCAGTCGAACAGCATCAGCACCACGAGGCAGAAGATCTCAGAGACAAAGAACATCACTGCAAAAACCGCGACACTACATGAATGATTAAAAACATTACACGTTTCTCACCGACACCCATGTACACGAACTCAACCTTTCAAACCATCAGCTTCAAATCATGTTGTGTTGTATGGTTCTATAGTGTGTGTGTGTGTGTGTGTGTGTGTGTGTGTGTAGTCTCAGTCATGGGCGTGATTTTCTTGCTGCAGTGCTCAACCCAACATTATTCCTTATTGATTCAATATTCGAAAAGGATCATAAAAAAACAATGTAATATTAGGCTACATACACAACCACACTGTCATTTAATCCTGAATAATTATTCCTATTTTAAAACGTCAGTCACTTTATTCCACTCTGAATATGATTCCTGACAAAAGACATTTATTAGACACACATCCCAATTGCTCAATATCAGCTTAACCCGACCATTTTTGACTCGACTATTGCTTGGCATTTAATCCTGCTACAGCTTTTGTTACAAACGTGAAAATAAAAACCACAATATGCTTTAAAAATATGAATATGAATGTATCAACTTACAGTGATCTTTGGGATATTCTTTTTGCCTTGGTAAGACATGGTTAGGTCTCGGTTGATGCAGATGTCTTTATTCTGTTCTTTTCTGATGTTGGTGGTGGCGCACACTGGACTTGATTGTCTGTGCCGGGCTCCTCCCTCATGTCCCGCCGGGTGCCGTGTGTCATTTACACCGGCAGGAGGCGCCAACACCAGCGTTCCAAAGCCGAGTCATTTACACGAATCGGTTCTCTCGAACAGCTCGGGTAACTATAAACCGGTTCAAAAAGCGATTCATCTTTTAATTTACGACATTGTCAAGAAGAAATAATAACGTCTACGGGATACTGTTCATGATATTCCAGCTCTAATTATTGAAAGTAATTTGAATGTCTTTGGCCTTAGTAAAACACTGTATTACCACTCACAATACACTCTTTTTGGATGCTTAATTAATGCCGGGAATAGCCACATTGCTATAGCAACTGAAAAGTTAAAAACACAAAGCGAGAACGAGATTATGGTAGTAATAATTACACCCTTTTGATAATAATAATTAAATCTTTCGTCACCCGGGAACCCAAATACCCCAATACACCAGACAATACGCAGAACCATACACCGCTTTGAGAACGATATGCGAACCGAAAGAACCGACTCTAAAGAACCATTTGTTAATGATTCGGATGATCATTGTCTGCTTGTAAACGCTTCTGTCAATTAGTTTAGTAGTTTTCTCTCTACCTTGGAAACAGACTACTAATGACAACTGATTCCTGACAAATACGATAAATTAACAAAATAAATCTGATTTCCCAACCCTTGTGAAAAATAAGTACACTTTAGTGCAGTCATAGCCACACTTTTAAGGAATATACTGAAGCATGGCTTGAATGTGATGTTTTCAGACACTTCATTGAATGTTATCTGCAATTAAATGGAAATAGTTCAAATTTAAATTGAATGTAATTAGATGAACTTAAGAGTTTTTGACATATTTTAGTAGCCTAGGACAAGTACATCTATATTTGTAATTTCATAATGTTTCTGTTGTTTTGAAATATGTCATGTATTTCAATATATTTACTGCAGATAGATTTTTAAGATTTTATGTGTACAACTAGTGCACATTCAATACAATTAGACACACTTATTTTGCAGAAGGGAAGTTATTAAAATAAATCTCAGACAATCATATAACTATAAACTCCTCCATGAACTGCTAAGGCGAGTTAGCTTGCTTTACTGTCTTTAAGATTAAATGGTGTTTCAGTGCAGAAAGAGAGAGAATGCTGTATATATCAGTTATTATAGTGCATCTTCACCAATGAGCAAAGACTCATAATCAAGTCAAGGACTAGACGGGTCTTTCAGAGAAGAGAAGAGAAGAGAAGAGAAGAGAAGAGAAGAGAAGAGAAGAGAAGAGAAGAGAAGAGAAGAGAAGAGAAGAGAAGAGAAGAGAAGAGAAGAGAAGAACAGCTGCTGATCAGGAGCCCCACCCTGACATGAGGCTCTTTTGTCTGAGCAGAACCAACACACCCCCACCCCCTCCCTCTCTCACTCACACACACACACACACACACACACACACACACACACACGCACACACACACACCCACACACACACAGAGAGAGAGAGAGAGAGAGAGAGAGAGAGAGAGAGAGAGAGAGAGAGAGAGAGAGAGAGAGAGAGAGAGAGAGAGAGAGAGAGAGAGAGAGAGAGAGAGAGAGAGAGACAAACACACACACACACGCACACACACACCCTCACTCTCTCACACACACATCCACACACCCTCACCCTCATACACACACCCTCACACACAGACACACACACACACACACACACACACAGACTCTCACACCCACACACACCCTCACTCTCTCACACACTCATCCACACACCCTCATACACACACACACCCTCACACACAGACACACACACACACACACACACACACAGACTCTCACACCCACACACACCCTCTCTCTCTCTCTCACACACATCCACACACCCTCACCCTCATACACACACACACCCTCACACACAGACACACACACACACTCTCTCACACACAGACTCTCACACCCACACACACCCTCTCTCTCTCACACACACACACCCTCACACAGACACACACAGACACACACACACCCTCACACACACACACACACACACACACTCACACACACACACACACACACACACCCTCTCTCTCACACACAAACAGACAAACACACACACACACACACACGCACACAGATTCTCACACCCACACACACAAAAACACTCACACATACACACACAAACAGACAAACACACACACAAACACACAGACAAACACACACACACCATCTCTCTCTCTCTCTCACACACACACACACACACAGAGAGAGAGAGACAAACACACACGCACACACCCTCACTCACTCACACACACATCCACACACCCTCACCCTCACACACACACACACACATACACACACACACACAGACTCTCACACCCACACACACCCTCTCTCTCTCACACACATAGACACATACACACACACCCTCACCCTCACACAAACACACACACCCTCACACACAAACTCTCACACCCACACACACCCTCTCTCTCACACACAAACAGACAAACACACACACACACACACATACCTACTTAACCACAATGTGAGGACGTATGACTGGGAACCCTACCTTTAGGGACACCCCTTTCTGAAGGGTCTAGAGACAAAAGAAAGACATGACTGCACTTCTGGAGAAGCTGTCATCACACTTATCACTTGATTTTATCAATAAAAGCCTTCCTTAAAGACCTGACATTTTGCCTTCACTTTAGGGACAGTATTTTTTATGTCCATTTTGGGGACATTAAACACAAACTCTGGTCAAGTCATACTTTGAGGACCATGGTGATACACAAACTCTGGTTAAGTCATACTTTGAGGACCATGGTGATACACAAACTCTGGTTAAGTCATACTTTGAGGACCATGGTGATACACAAACTCTGGTTAATGTATACTTTCAGGACTTTGTTGAGATGTTATATTATTTATCCTAAGAAGACAGAAGTAGAATATTACAATTCAAAGTTCCAATACTGGACACTGAAATCAAGCTAGTGCAGAGATACAGGTGTGAGAGAGTAAACTGGGTTTTTCATTTCTTCATGATCACTGTAAATGGGTAGTCTACATTTTTGTCTGATTTGTAGCTTGAGATCAAGTGCCTTTGTCTCAGTCGGGGAATGACAATTAACATTCAGAAATATTATTGATTTGACTGTATTGACTATCAGAGAACAAAAGATGAACATAATTGTTGAAATTTGCAAGTTATTTTATGTATGTGAAGCTGCTTTAAAACGATCTGTATTGTATAATGCGCTATAGAAATAAAACTGACTTCACTTCATGGCAGAGAACACTTCACTGGCCACGGCCAGCATCCCTCTAGTTAATTTAGCATCGACTGCAAACTAATCATCATCACAAAAACATCTTAAGGGGTTTTCCTCACCAGAGTCATCTTTGGCTACTCACTGGGGCTTTATGACATTAGGCATTTCTTCTGTAAAGTGTAGTAACTGTCAAAGAAAAACTTTATACAAATAAAAATAGTGATACACACTCAGATTAAATGGCTCTTTAAGGACTCTAATGACACACACACTCTGATTAAATGACTCTTTGGGGACTCTAATGACACACACACTCTGATTAAATGACTCTTTGGGGACTCTAATGACACACACACTCCGATTAAATGACTCTTTGGGGACTCTAATGACACACACACTCCGATTAAATGACTCTTTGGGGACTCTAATGACACACACACTCCGATTAAATGACTCTTTGGGGACTCTAATGACACACACACTCCGATTAAATGACTCTTTGGGGACTCTAATGACACACACACTCCGATTAAATGACTCTTTGGGGACTCTAGTGACACACACACTCAGATTAAATGGCTCTTTAAGGACTCTAGTGACACACACACTCAGATTAAATGGCTCTTTAAGGACTCTAATGACACACACACTCAGATTAAATGGCTCTTTAAGGACTCTAATGACACACACACTCCGATTAAATGACTCTTTGAGGACTCTAGTGACACACACACACTCCGATTTAATGACTCTTTGGGGACTCTAGTGATACACACTCCGATTTAATGACTCTTTGGGGACTCTAGTGATACACACTCCGATTAAATGACTCTTTGAGGACTCTAGTGACACACACACACTCCGATTTAATGACTCTTTGGGGACTCTAGTGATACACACTCCGATTTAATGACTCTTTGGGGACTCTAGTGATACACACTCCGATTAAATGACTCTTTGAGGACTCTAATGACACACACACTCCGATTAAATGACTCTTTGAGGACTCTAATGACACACACACTCCGATTAAATGACTCTTTGGGGACTCTAGTGACACACACACACTCCGATTTAATGACTCTTTGGGGACTCTAGTGATACACACTCCGATTTAATGACTCTTTGGGGACTTTAATGACACACACACTCCGATTAAATGACTCTTTGGGGACTCTAATGACACACACACTCCGATTAAATGACTCTTTGGGGACTCTAATGACACACACTCCGATTAAATGACTCTTTGGGGACTCTAGTGATACACACTCCGATTTAATGACTCTTTAATATTAACAGTATTAAACATTGTGTTGAAAGTACACATTGCAGTTAATGACAGAAATTCAAAAAGATATAAAATAAAAAAATAAAAAAGAACAATGACAAATCTAATAACTTGGAGGTGGGAATGATTCTCAGTGTCCAACTATCCTCTGTGCTTCCTCCATCCACCCTTCTTCAAAATCTCTCTACTATCTCCTTTACATTTACTCATCCTTTTCATCCTCTTTCCATTCACTCCCTCTTTTCATCGTTTACATCAGCTGTGTTGGACATTGCCGTGTGCAGCCGGGAGAAGCTGAAAACTGAGACGTGAGTCTGACACTTTCTGCTTCCCGTAGTGACGCTCACGATGTGTTTGCATACTTTAGCACAGCTGAAGTGGAATAAATGCATTATTTGCCAAATACACAGATATTTCAGGGACGTTTTCATGCACTACATGAACCGCTTAATACAGCATCTGTTTGAACAAG